GTGGGTAGGGTCTGGAAGCTGTGCAAATGCCTGCTGCCCCTGTGTCTGCAGAGGAGCCAGGCAAGCCTTGTGAAGCTCCTAGACCCTCTGAGCACTTGCTTGTTTGATCAACAGACCTTTGCAGCCAGGGCAGCAGCAGTGCCCAGCTGATCTTTCCCATGCTGTGCTGGAGCTAACCAGGACAGCTGTCAGTGGGGCCACAATGCAAAGAAGATCACAGAAGAAGGTAGAAACCACTTCTTTAAAAATCTGTGTTGATTCTGGGTGTTCTGGGAGATGTTTCACAGCAGAGGCAACAAACCATGGGAGGGACACAGCTGAAAGAACAGCAAAATGCATAAAGGCAGCAAAGGATGGGAGGAAACACTTAAAACAGTTCTTCTGCCAAAGAAAATGTCCATATGATGACATCATCTTGATATAATTGACCTTTTTTAAAGCACAGATCCTAGAGGTTGTAAAGTTTCTTAGATATCATAAGGAAAAGAAAAAGAAATCAGATTTTACAGTGAAGGAAGAAAGAGTACAAATACAGCAAAGGCACGTCCTAGAGCTTCAAACGTAAACCCAGATATTAATGGAATCCAGACCTGCCTGTAAAATGTTTTGCAATAGTAAAGCTATTTCAAAACTTTTTACTGATGAGTGTTAAAAACTTGTGTTGGCAGAATCAACACATGAGATTGCCATGGAGAAGGCTGTAGAGGATGTTTTTGTCCTTATTAAAGATACATGGACATACATAGAGAGAGAGAAGCACAGCTTGAAATTTATGTTGCGTGTCAATACTACCTGACTGGGTAAAATGTTGCGCTTCTTTAGTATTATGGATAATTTTGGATTGTGAATACATGCTGGCTCAGCTGGTTAAGGATTTGTGGTGTTTGGGATAACAAAGAATTGGAAATGTTGCAACGGAATGTTTATGTGGAAAAAAATAGATACAAAAGAAAATTCTTTGTAACTAGGAAGAATTATCACCAAGAGGCACCTGAAAAATAATTGGTGACTGCAATCAGCCCGTGAAATAATTCTTCAGCACAGTTAGATTGTAAAACTACCTCCATGACTGACTCCATTAAAACAGTTACTTGGGGCTTGCCTTGGCTTAAAATAATATGTTCCATTCTGTGACTTTCAGAGGCATGTGAGCTGATTTCCTTGGCTTCTATAACGATAAAGTCCAGTAATATATTTGGGACAATTAGATCCTTCATCACCTAGAGAAGAAATACCACTAGATAAGTGCATACCTCTCAGCAAAGAGCCATTCCTAGCACAGGGAGTATTCCAGTGGCAGGCAGTAGCACTGAAATGGAGTGGTCACATGCAAAAGAGTGACTTGAGGGCTTAATTTTAAAAAGCAGGCCTTAATGTTGCAGATGCAGCTTTCTGAAAGAAAAACAACAGAAGGCCATGATATGGCATCACAGAAATAACTGCTCTTTCTCAACCAGCTGTTGTTGCTGTGAGTGGTACTGGCAGGATGTGATAGTCAGAGAGGTTATAATACCCACATACACATGCAAAGCACAAATGGTGACCGATGCTTATGAGATGTGTAGTACAGTGTTAGATGTGTTCACCCGTTCTCAAAAAAAAAAAGAATCCACTTTTTTCTCATTGCCTTCTTGCTCCTAGCCCCATGAGCTTGTTGTTTACCTTGGATAAGCTCTGGTGCTCATCAGAGTCAGTATGGCTCATTCATCCAGCAAAATGCCAGATAGTTATTTTCTGGGCTATCAGCGAGGACTGGTGCAGTGAAGAGCCACGCAAGTCCAGGGCAGTGCGAGGAGAGGTGGAAACTAGTGCCAGGTTGAGGAGAATCCTTCCCTGGCCATGGGAAGGGCCAAGCTGCTCATCCATATTAGCCTTAGCTACTCCAGCGTCTTTTTGTCAGGACAGAGGTTGAATGTGGCTCATCTCCAGGCTCTGGTTTCTTATAAGTTGATACTTTTGAGAAAAAAGAAGACTCAGTGAATGGCTGTTATAAATATTTACAGAGTATTTTCAGGCTGCCGAAACTCATCTATCAAACAGATTAGTGGGAAGGATTGCCTAAAGCTTACCTGTTATGAAACAGCAGTTTTGGAAAAGAACTACTATTTATGAGAAACACAATACTCATTTCCTCCTGAGAGAGTTTATGTTTGCTTTTGCTTTCATTTTCATTGTTACTAGCAGTTTCATGTTTAGCAGCAGTTCTCTGCAAAAGAAGGTGTAAATGAAGCCTCAGTTGAACCCACTTTCTGTTTCTGCAGCATTTTGAGACACTAGGGCAGTGGGTCCATGCCATAGTTTCTTCTGGGAGGCCTCACATAGGGCCAAGTGAGGGGTTGGTCAGAGACAGCTTGGGAAACATTACCAACAGCTTCTCTGAGATGGTCTTTCGGCTATCCCAATGGCAATATGGATTTACAGATCCCAGCCCCCTTTCAACCAGGTTTGAAATAAATCTTAATTTCCCAAGCCTGGTTTATGGTGTGGTAACACAGAGAGTTTTGTTAATACATATTTAAGGGGCAGCGTGTTGCAGGGCAGCATGAGAAGCCTTCGTCTAAGCTGTGGCCTGAGCTCCAGTTTAACGAATGAAGGGGGGATGGGTCAGTCATTTAGCTCCTTCTACCATAGCTTCCAACCAGCTTTAAACTACACTGACATTACTCTCTGTCAGTGCCTGGCTGTGTAAAGGACATTTACCTTATTTAGAGAAACACAGATCCTTCTTTCTTGTAACGTATTTTAGACAGAGAGGCGGAAAGTGGAGCTGTGGAAATGCACTTCATAGCTTAGCTATGAGTATTGTGAGGTAGATGTGAATTCTAACTAGGGAGATCTTTTGAAACTGCATCTTAGCTCTTAATACAGGAAACATGGGACCTTTGAACTCACTGTTATCAGCTGAAATAGGAGAATCGGGTGTGAAGTTGCAATCTTAATTTGAGCAATGAGACTCGTATAGAGCCTGCCATGTTTGCCGGGGCTACTGTTCTGCTGATTGCTGATTGATATACAGATTTTATTTAAATTACAGGATAGCAGAAGACAATGAGTTGCTGTCACAAATCCAGACAAGGGGTTATCAGGATTGCCTCCATCAGGATTGCCCAAGAGGAGAGAACACACTAGATGTGTTTGGAAACAACACCCAAAGAGCACTTGGCTCTGTATGTAACTAGATTTGACTTTCTTCAATGTGTCTTCTTTATTTACCAACACATTTACCACCACTGCTTCCCTGTAACAAGAAAGAACTTCTGTTTCTAATTTTGTGTTGGTTTAAACTGAACTGTCCACAAGCAATGGATGCTTGTTTAGAGAGCCCTTTTTTGTAGCTGGAACCTATTATTAAACAGTAATTTCGTTGTCTTTACAAGACATTGCAAGGTGGAAGTTAGAAATATCTTATAAATATTCCATATAAGGCCTGTTTATTTATGGTCATATCCTCTTCCTCTGCTCAGAATTTTTTTCCAGGATCACTCAAGGATGTAACTGCAGATGCGCAGCAGCTCTCCCCAGCCATGCCTCTAGCAGTCTCAGATTTGCCACCTATGTCCACATTGAGAATGAATCAAATTCTTTGAGAAAGAATTACACATATTCCTGAAAACTGATGTGTGCAGGTATGGGAAAGTAGATCCTGAAAGTTCCTGACGGCAGATGAGCCTATTGTATGAGAATGTATGTTGTATAATTGCTTATGTTTCTAGCCTGAAACTTTAAACAGAAAACTGGTGGGTTTAGTAGTAATCTGTTTTATTTTCTTGTGCTTGTTTTGCATTGTGACATGGCCACATTCCACAGGGAGCACAATAGCTGGATGGGGATGGCAGAGATTGCAGATAATATGCTTACAAATCATTAGCAGGACAATGCAGTAGAGGGCTCTGAAGTTTCCCGCAAAGAATTCAACACCCCTGAGTTAACCAAGGTAGTAAATATGCACAGAGCAGGGCAAGGGCTGGGGTCTGAGCCTGAAGGAGGGGTACAGCAGCAGGAGATAGAAGCTGGCAGGCAGGAAAGTTTTGGTAAGAAGGAAACCAGATGTGAGGGCACTGTTTGTAAACCCTCCCTTTTCAAGCAGTGCTTCCTGCCTGGAGATGAGGCACCCTATTGTTTTGAAAGAACTCAGTCAAGTCCCAGTATTCACAGGGCCACAGCTCCTGATGTGGATTTTTATGCTTCATCTGGTTAAGCACACAGAGGAATCCCCTTCTCTCCTCAAGCAAGTGCGTACTTTCCTGCTTCCATTGTGTGCTGTGTAGGAACAGGCTCCCCTTTCAATAGGACCAATGTAGATGTGAGCCGAGATTCAGGTCCCATTGTAGATTAGCAGTGCTCCATCTCTGCTAAACATGCCTCTGATGCCAGTCTCTGATTCCTATCATCACAAACAGCATTGCAGACAGAACAAGAGCAACACTGGTGTTGCAGGAATCAGGTCAATTCTGTTTCCTTTGAGAATTATAACCCTGAATCTGCCAGTGGTAAAAGAGCTGCGAGGATTTGGTGCAACCATCCAACAAGTCGGTTTGTATTCTGTGTCAAAAGTGAATGAGTTTTGTTCAACACTGAATCCTTATGAAGGTTAGAGGCACTGAATTCACAAAAGCATCATTGCCTTACTCAGAAAGTAAGCTGTTGCACATCAGAGAAGTTTAAACAACCTCTTTCCTTCTTTTGAATGTCTCTGTTTCAGAGAGAGGTACTATCTCCAGCCAGCTGACTGCCAGAAGCTCTGGATTATGATTCCTAAAATGTGATGCAGGAAATCTCCAGATTTTTATAAATGGTCCTAAGGCAAGATTTGTAGGAAAAAGCAGTAACTTCTGCTTCATTTGCACTTTGTAAATCAGAACAAGGGTCTGAAGGGTAAATTGCATTCCTCATTCTTTATCCTGGTTTTCAGTCTGTCTGACTCAGGCTGTGTCTGATCCTTGCAGCCACCTAATGGTTTTAAATCTGGAGACTTGTTCGTGAGCAAAGCACTTTAATGATGCTGTACCATGAGGGCATGACTTGCAAGCATGCAACAGGTGGGAGCTGTGTCTTCAGTCTGACATTTAAGCTGCTGGTGCTTGCCTGCATCCCTCTAGAAAGAAGTTTGTGAGTTATTGGTTCTGTTCATTCCCCTCCTTAGAACCAGTCCAGATGTAACATGTCTTGTGGGGTGAGCCTCCAGAATCCAACAGCTCTTGTCACTGCTCATGATGGAGTACATGGAAAGAAAAAAAAACGAAACCCCTCTGACCTTATGATTTCATGGCTAGATCTGGCTGAAGTCTGAATGACTGCATCTTCCCTGCAGCAATAGGCTGCCAGGTCCCCAAAGGTCTGAAGAGAAAGCATCTGATCTTCCCTTCCTTTGCTTTTGAGTTTTTCTAAGCTCTGAACTTATTGCAGTTTTTAGGGCTGGAAGCAGTACTTCTGTTTTCTTTAGCAACTATACATTTATTAATCGATGCTTGATTATTTACCTCTTTCTATGTTATGTGCAGTAAACTGCATCAGACTGATGGAGTTATGTGGTCTGGGGAGAGACCTCCCAGCCCAGAGCTCCTGAAAGCTGCACTGGGCTCTTTGTTGGCATTTTTCTCTAACTTTAGCCAAATTATTCAGCTTTTCTACCACAGTGTGTCCCTGTCTTCAAGGGAACCATCAGGTGAAAGAAATCTCAGCTCCCAACTCCCCCATAGGCGGATTATGAAGAATTCATGCCTGAAGAGCACTTTGTGAGAATTGACTTTTAAGACTGAATTATTGATGCCTTGACAAACCTCTGCTTTATTGCACAGGAAAGGGATGTTAGGAGAAACAGATTACTTAAAAAAGCCTACTAATCAGATAATCCTGGCACATGCTGCTGCTCAGACTTAAAATCTCTATGCCTGCATAGATATAGAGGTATATGAATGAATGCACTACTGTCTAAATATACACACATTTGAATTGCTGCACACGGTCTGTGTAATTCCTACCAGCATACAGTCATACTAGTTTGGTGCACTTGGCAAAATTTTGTTTGTTGTCGTTTAAATACTCTGGATGACATTCAGCCTCAGAGTACTACTGTAGTTGAACCAGTTATCTGTTTTGCCTATAAGACACCTGATGTTAAAGTTTCTTCTCCTAAGAACATATTTTTCAAGCAAATGCTGTTCACTCTTTGGTAAACATGTAGCTCTCCAAAATCCTCATCAGGTTATTTTGCTGTTTCTGACAGCCTGGCTTGATGTATGTTTGTCGTGGTTTTACATAGTGTTATTTACATTGACCTGTAGACTTTGCAGGTCTTTCAAAATCTGTCGTATTCTCCTTTTTTTTTTTTTTTTCCTCAGATTCATGCAGGTAGAAGGCATAATGTCCAACCTGGCTTCCAAAGTTTCTCACCTGATTTGTGCTCTTTGGTGGAGTCTCAGCAGTTACAGCAGAGTGCAAAAGTCTTGTAAAGGTAAGAGAAAGTGAGCAGGGTGTAAATGTTGAGTGATTGAGGACAAGATACATATCTTCTCAATAGAAATGTCAGGTCTGGGAAGCATTAGTTCAGGTAAATATAAAGGCCTTAGGCTGTTTTCAGCTTAAGACACTATTAATTAACCTAACAGTATTAATGCTGCCAAATCTGTATAGTTGCCGAGGGATCTGTGCTTTATCCTGACAGAGGCAGCATCGGCACAAAGGTCAGCTGGTGGTCAGCATCACGCTTCACTTGTGCATCAGTACAGAGCTTAATGCTTCAGAGACTGAACTTTTGTGCCCTAAGGAACATTCTTATGGTATATATTGCTTATTTGTGAAATCCAGGTTTTGAATATATATTCTATATTTTGAATATATAATTCAAATATATATTCCATATTTCAAATATATTTCTGAGTAATTTCTTCCTAGTTGTGGTAATTTAACGTTCCTGCTACTCAGTTCAGAGCTGAGTGCACCGAGTAGAGGGAACACAGCTTGATGCTTGGGCTGTGCCGTTGGCAGCTGAAATAATCTAGTCATGACTTGCAAGCTAAGTGTTATGAAATCGCTGATACTGGATAAACATGAAACATCTGGTTTCATCCCTTATAACACCACTGTTTTGACTGTAGAGAAGTGCTCACGGTAATGCCAACCTGAACTGAAGTTTGTAAAGTAAATGTAAAAGCATGTAAAGATGCTTTACACTGCACTTGAGACATCAGCAGGCAAATGCACTAAGACCCAGCTGCATAAGCGATCCCTGCAGAGATTGCAGAACTAATGCAAGGACACAGTTTGTGCTGGGAGAATTACCCAGCTAATGGGATTATCATTGAGCCAGGGAGAAATATTATACCCTTCAGGAGCTGGTCTTCAGTAATACCAAAAGGAATCTATTGGAACAAGCCCTGCAATGTTAGGGTGGAACGTTACATTAAAGCAAAGTCAAATTAATGCCTTGTTGGTGCTGAAAAGGGACTGTCAAACAGCTGCCTGATCCCACTGTTTCCCTTGAACTAGGACTCACCTGTCCTTGTTCTGGGCCAGGCCACGGAGCAAAAACAACTCTGCATACACAAAGAATAATTTTCTTTTGGCAGCTTGCTCCCTGACTGGAGTTTCCACAAATGTTTTGTTTTTACAGCTGATGATTTTGGGGTTTTGAAATATGTGTGAGTGTCTCTGGACCATGCATTGGACGTGGTCCTGCCCTCATTCCAGTTCGTAGGAAAAGCCATGTGAACTGCAGCAGGAACAGCCTTGCTTTATGGCTTACAGCCTGGAAATACTGTACTCAATGCAGTGTAGCTTTCCAAATCTAGATGTGATCAACAGGATCGCTTTAGTGTTGGTTTTTTTTTTAGGTTAGGTGGCCAGATAATCTGTGGAGAAGCCAAATACAGACATCTTTTCTTTATGGTTAGTAAAAATGCCTAAAAAAACCTGGTGAAGATCTGCCAAATTTTTGGAACTCAGAACATAACGTACATGCAGTAGGGTTGACTATGCTGGGATAAAGGGGTGAAACTCTCACAAAGTTAATAGAAATATTTCAAATAACACTAGCAGGGAATTTGCCCAGCTGTGTTTCAGCTGCTGCCATGCAAAGCTCTAGAGAATCAAGCTTTCTCAAAGAGAAATTGTGTAAGCTCTGCAGTGTTGATAAGTAGGAATACCTATTTATTCTGTCTTCAAACAAAAGGTGCATAGGACTCAAACAATGAATTACTATGCTTAATGGAAGTTAGCAGTTCTGAACTTACTCTGGCTGAACTTGTACATCAAACAGGAGAAAACTCACCTTGTCTTGAACCTCAAGGAAAAGTACTTATCATTTTGCTTATTTCACCTTGCAACTCTGATGGACTTAAAACTAAAGCTCTGGTAATGTATTTCTGTATTTGTCTAAGCCCATAAAGATAATCTTAGCCCTAGAGGGCTTAGAGTCAAAATCATTACCTTGCAGCTCCTTGTGTACATATGAACTGCTGCGTAGCGCCAACCGAAATAGTGTGATAGTTCACCTCTGCATGTACTCACAGGGCTGATGTCTTATAAAACAAAACAGCTGGGCATGGATAATAAAATCTGTTGCTTCTGTTGGGTTTGTAGGAAGATCTTTCTGTTTCAAAAGCCTTCTAGTAATTGCACCCGTAATTGCAAAATAATCTTTTAGTAATGCATCTTCAGGCAAATGCAGGGAATGAAGTACACCAGCAAGATGGCTCTATCTGATCCTATGCCTCCCTGATCTGTCTGCTTGTAAGCTTTCTCTTTTGTGTGAAATGTTAATGTGGAAGGGAGGATACTATAGCTCCAGTCCCTCCTGACATTTTCAATGCATTTCCCAGGTCTGTTTTTCTGTCCTTCAGTGTAAAATTAATTTTGGCATAATCTTGTGTGAATTAAACTGCAACACAATGATCTCTTTGCTCGACTCATATTTGCTGTCTGCCTGATTTATGTTGAAAAGGAGCACTTGGGCATGCCAATTATCCTGTCTTTTTATTTGCCTTGTGCATTGAGCCTTTGGCTACTAGAATTAAACTGAAAAATGCAATTAAAAGCATTAGATGTAGCAAACATACAAAAAAATATCATTATATGCTTGACAATGTTCTCCTTCATATTGTTAATCCCTGCAGATCTACCTGTGTTATTAGATTTCATATATGGATTTTATTTTTCTCTAAAGACTACGTTAACTGGAATAAGCAAGTTGCATGCCTGATCACATAAGAAGAGGAAAGGAAGATGTCACCGTACTGGAAAACCTCGCCTGACTTTTCTTGATGAGTATGGTCTGAACTTGAATTAAGAAAACATTTTGTAGCTTGAATAACAGTTGCAGATACCTAGACAATGTTATTAGATAATGTTTTAGACAGACAAATTTGGCTTGGTGCACTATGGAAATTATTGCGTATAAACAAAATTGTCTCCAACTGTGATGAGATGTACAGAGAGGAAGTTCAGGTGATGCTGATCTGGGCAGATCCTTCCTACCTACAAACCTCAACAGGGTCTACAGGCTTGTGAGCCACGTCAGTGGTATCCTCTGAGGAGTGCACTTAGGCAAGGGAAGTGCAAATGTCCCTCACTCTTCATTCTCAGATTAAAATAAATGGTCAAATAAAAGCAAAATTCTCACTGGGAATGTAGTTACGGTAAATTGGAAAGCCAGGAACTGCACTGCTGTTGGACACAGCACTTGGATTCCTGTGGTTATTTCTCTGTAAAAATATAACACACACCCCCCCCCAACCCAAATCCTAAACAAACATGAAAAAGCCTAAAATGATATTAACCATGCAAACTCAGATTACTTGCCTTTCCAGTGAGCCTGAGAATGCATAATGCTAGTGCCTCTAAAACCACAGAATTTTAGGGCCTTTTTATGGTGAGAATATGCTTAGAGTTGTATTAATTGCTTGCAAAAAAATAATTGAAAAATACATCTCAGCCTGTAATAGAAACACACCATTGAAAGAGAGACTTGCTGCCTCTTTATTGCAAAGACCTCACAGAAACCCCTGTTGCACTCAGTTTAAACCTTCTCTCCACCTGTGGCTGCCAAGAAAGCTTCGCACAGAAAGCCAATGTCTAAAGCACAAAGAGGTACAGGCAGAAGAAATAAAAAGGTAAGAACGAAAGATGAATCCAGAGGTTAGGCTCTGTGGTGGTATATCTGCCTCTGCAGTTAGGTGATGAAAGACACATACGCTGGCACCTCTGCAGAGTTAAAACAGATCAGGCTGGAAAAAAGGTGACTTTTTAATTAGCCAGGGCCTGCATTTCCAGCCCTTCATGCTGTGCTGCGTGAGAAACCTGTTAAATACCTGGCACAATAAATCCCAACAGTGATAAAAAACTGAAATTACAGGCAAAAAAGGATGGCAGCGTCAGGACTGGCGGTATCTCTGTGGGTTGTTTGATTGCAACATTTTACCCCTTCTTGTTAGTCCTGATAAGGGTTGTAAAAGAATGTATAAAACTAGGCAACTTTGCCCAGCTGGACTCATTTTACTTAACAATTATTGCTCAAGATAAATCAGAGAGAAAACATAAATACACTCAGGGAAACCAAAACTTCAGATACATAGGATAGTTCAAAGCATGTAAAAATTCTCTTTTCCGTAATTGTAAGGGATTTGTAAAAACAAATCTGGATATATCTAGCAAGGTTTTTCTGAAGGGCAAACCTATCCTGATTTGCACTGGTTCCTAATGTTTCTCAAGATGTTTTCTTTATGGCTTTGTGAAAGTGATGCTGACCTCTCATTTATGGTGACTCCAGGACTGCACGGCAGCTCAGGCTGAGTCGGAAAACAGGCAGGGCGTTTCACCCAACCTTCGTCCTTAGTAGTTATGAGCAGCAGGCTCATTTAATATTTGTAGCACTCTTTACTGGCTTATTTGTTTTCAAACGTTTCAGGGAACAGGAAGCAAGCTGAGTGGAGGGGCGGAGCATGTAAAGGATGGCAGTCCCACATTCTTCTTTCCTTGGCTGATTAATTTATTGAACTAGCAGAAAGCACCAAGTCTGACAGTTTTGACCTTACCTACCTTTGTTGCAGTTTGCCTGCTCAAAAGAGTATAGTAATACCCCATTTATGCGCTGTTTGTTTGTTCCAGTTACTGCTGTCCTTGCAGTCAGAGGCTCCTTCATCAATGCACTAGATGAAGCAACTATAAATACATGGGCAAAAGTTTTATAATCTGCGTTAGTTTTATCCCTGTTCAAACCTCATTGTGACAAAGCTCAAGAGATGCTGGGTGCTCATACACCTTTATAGCTGAGGCTGCAGCAACCCACTACTGCGGTCTCGGGGTTCCCTCTCCATCAGACATGGGCCCAGAGCTCCTTAGGACAGCATCAGTTTCTCTGTTGGCTGCAGCAGACTGTAGTTAAGGTCCTAAAATGACAGTATTTGAGTCATCTAATTTCTTCCTTATTAAATAGCTAAGTCACCTCAGCTACTATGAGAAGCATAGTATTTTCAGAGGACACTCCATGCTCCCAAGCCTGCAGCAACTTGAGTGTTGTATTAAAGACTGTAGTGATAGGACAAGGGGTAACTGGTTAAAACTTAAACAGGGGAAGTTTAGATTGGATATAAGAAGGAAATTCTTTCCTGTTAGGGTGGTGAGGCACTGGAATGGGTTGCCCAGGGAGGTTGTGAATGCTCCATCCCTGGCAGTGTTCAAGGCCAGGTTGGACGAGGCCTTGGGTGATATGATTTAGTGTGAGGTGTCCCTGCCCACGGCAGGGGGGTTGGAACTAGATGATCTTAAGGTCCTTTCCAACCCTAACGATTCTATGAACACTGTCAAGGAAGAAAATAGCAAACCTGCTTCAGTACTGCAAGTGCCAGCTCATGATGGTGTGTTTACGTACTAAACCCCTTACCTGAACAAACACTGTAGACACTGGTGAATGGTTGGGTTGTGATTGCACAGGCATGCCATAGAAATCACACAGTTCAAGTGAAATGAATGTGCTTGAGCGCCAGGCTGGTCATGAATCCCAGCTTTTGGCAGCTGTTTTGATTAAATTCACAATCTCTTCCTGCAAGTCTAAATAAGTAAACGCCCTCATTGTTTTGCCTCACCATTTATAAAGAGCTGGCAGGCACCCAGGTGCTGCTCAGGAGAACGGAGGACTCACACAAGAAATGGAATTCCCCACAGCTCTGCCTGGGAGTCAACAGCCACCCCTGCTCCTGAAGCAGGGGTCTGCCCATGGGAGGGCTCCTGCTGCCATGACTAGCGGGGCATGAATGGCTACCCCAGCTGATCTCTAACCCTTGCTGATGTTGTTGCTTTTTAAACACTCCTCTCCTCCCCCGTCAAATGCCCCCTTTATCACTCAGACAAGATCCACTGGCTCCTGAGACTTTACTTAGGGAAAGGATGAGGCATTAACAGGAAAAGCACCTTTTGCTCTAACTTGTTTTTCTTCTGGAAAATGAGTGATTGCAAAATTTCATTATGGATCCTGGCACATACTAGCTTTTAATGACTGCTCTGCCCTCATTGATTTGAAAGTTGAAAGATCATTTTGTTTTGCTCACAACTCCAGCTCTGGAAACTGAAATAGAGTCAAGCTGAGTTGCCATCCACCTGCGAGTAAAATTTGGTGACCCCTGTCACCAAAGAGGTGCTGATTTAACCTTGCTACCCTTAACAGACTGCAGGTTAGTAAAACAAGTCTGTTGAGGAAGTTTTCTAAGGAAGAGCACCCAGCTGTGTCAGCTCTGCTGGGTTAATATGCAAACAGTAAACCAGTTTTCACAGCTCAGAAGATACTGTTCCAGGCAGGCACAGGAGAGGTGCCACGGTAAGAACAAACTCTAGTCAGGATAAAGTTGCATTTCAAAGTGACACTGAAAATTAAGTGAAAATTGGGATTTACATTTTGAAGTAAAGGCCCAAAGAGATGGGATGGGTGGCTGGTGGAAGTAAGCATATGCCTCAAGGTGACAGGTTAGCAGATGTTTTTATATCTTGCTTAAAATTAGTCACTCCGTTGGAAATTCAGGTGAGAAGATCACCAGCCCAAGAAATCAAGATGATGATGCTCATTAAAATAGAAGGCCTGAGCCCAACTTTATGCCAATAGCATCATTTTAGTCTGACTCAGAGGACCATTTTAAACTCTGAGTCAGTCTATAATCCTCAGTGAAGTGGTTCTAGGTTTCTACTATGCAACATATATATACATATATATGTGTGTATATATAAGGACAGACAAATGTGATTTATAATAAGTAGCTCCTTAGAGTGTGCTTAAATATATACATTGGCTCAGGCTAAAAGCTTTTGTTTCACCAGCTTCTCCGTATCATTCCTGGTGAGACATGCAATTTCATAGGCCATTGTGTTTGATTTTCATAATTCTCTTGTGGAGTTGGACAACACCCAATGAAGTCTATATCTGTGTCCAAAGACAGTCCTTGTATACAAGATGCCCTGTCTGTATGCCATTATGACATTAAATGCAAACCCATGATGTGATTTCTGATTAGCCACATAAATTTGAGTGGATTATACAAGACCTGAACTAAGCAGCTGGCTCTTTATGCTCAAAACCAGGTTTAAAGTCAGTTTAAGTCTGGAACCTGTGCCTCCGATTCATTGCAGTGACTGTAAAATAACAAATAGCATCTTGGCTATCCACACAGACAATCAAAAGCCGTGTTTGAAATGTAATGGTATCACAGTATCACAGTATGCTAGAGACTGGAAGGGACCTCAAAAGATCATCTAGTCCAATCCCCCTGCCGGAGCAGGAACACCTAGATAATGTTACACAGGAATGTGTCCAGGTGAGTTTTGAATGTCTCCAGGGAAGGAGACTCCACAACCTCCCTGGGCAGCCTGTTCCAGTGTTCCATCGCCCTCACTGAGAAGAAGTTTCTTCTCAAGTTTAAGTGGAACCTCTTGTGTTCCAGTTTGTAGCCATTACCCCTTGTCCTATCATTGTTTGCCACTGAGTAGAGCCTGGCTCCATCCTCGTGACACTCCCCCTTTATATATTTATATACACTAATAAGGTCACCTCTCAGTCTCCTCTTCTCTAAACCATAGAGACCCAGCTCCCTCAGTCTTTCCTCATAAGGGAGATGCTCCACTCCCTTAATCATCTTAGCTGCCCTGCGCTGGACTCTCTCCAGCAGGTCCCTGTCCTTCTTGAACTGAGGGGCCCAGAACTGGACACAATATTCCAGATGCGGTCTCACCAAGGCAGAGTAGAGGGGAAGGAGGACCTCTCTCGACCTACTAACCACCCCCAAATGAAGAATGGTATGATATTTTGAAAATCTGGTAAGCTCTGTTCCACTTTTGCAGAGGAAATGGTGATGAAAAATAGGAATGCAAAAGGAAACGCAAAAGTTTTGGAGTCCCACTGCTCAGCACACAGCCTCTCAGGCTACAGTGGAGAGGTGAGGCAGTTTTGACTCCTGCCTTTGCATGCTTTTCTGCAGGGGATTTTTGGGTGGAGGAAAAAACCCCTCCTAAGTAGATACAGTCATACTAAATGTATCCTGCTGCTTTGCTGAGCTGTTTCTACTTTGCAGTATTTCATAACCCACAGCACATTTGCACCAGGAATGAATGTGCTGGAGCAGCAAATGCAATGGCAGCTAACAGCGTGGAGTGTGTGCATCTGCCAGATGGTGAAAACATCAAAGGTTAATTCATCTGATCACTAAAATAATGCAAACATCAACTTCTGACTGTGGCAAGTAACACTGGCTCCCATGGACCCCAGAGCAGTGTCAGGGCTGCTTTGACAGCGGGGCTCTTTAAGAAAGGCCCTTTCCTCCTTGTAGCATCAGAAGCCTGTAAAAACTGCGTTTTACTTACAAATGAGTTGCTTTATGCACCATTAAAAGAGAGAAATGCCATGGCACAAAGTAATAGACCCACTTCTCCAGGTATTACCCCTAGGGGTTAAAATGGAACCATTTCCAGGGGCACTCACAGCTCTCCATAGATTTTTGGAGATGCTGCTATGCCTCCATGCAATCCATCACTGATAAAGCCAGAGCTGTATGAAGGCAGTGGAGATGATAGTCCTGAAAATAAAACTGCCCATGACTACATAGCAATGCCCTCAGTGCAGCAAGGCAGACCTGCCCTTGGTGCACTTCCTCACCCTTTTAGATTTGCAAACTAGAAACATGCACAGCCACCGTCAGCGAGACCTGAATAACCACACATGCCCCAACTGGTTTGCAAAATGTCAACTAATAGCAGGCAATACCGGAAAAAAGTCTTCATGGCATGGCAAGCACTGAAAATGATTCATGCTGAGGAAAGGTTATGAGGTTATCTGTGTATTTTGCAAGAAGTCTTGGTAATTTCCAATTAGCATGAGTTTTACGCTTTGTCTATCCATGAACTCACAAGTCAGGGGCTGGGTTGCCACATCTGTTTTGGTGCAGTTCCCACAATAATGCTTTCGGTTTTACAGTGTGTTTCTAGAAACATGCTCCCTCTGCTGTCTATAGTGTGAATTATCATAATTAAAAACCTCTCCAATTGTAATGAAATTACTAGGTTAACAGTAAAAATTCTCTTTGTTTATTCCTTTGCCCTACTCTGAATCCCACATCTTGATGGCACTGCGTGTACCACACCTGTCCTAATATTGGCAGTGTTTGTGGGAGAGGTAGTTTTCTGTAACCCCAATTATTCTTGTTTTAAATTTAAACTTAAATTTTGAAATGTTGTTTTAAACCTCATAATATATGTTCTCTAATGAACTCTGCCTCTCCTATATCCTTAGAATGTCTTATGATGGGAAGTGCTGTGGTTTTGTAGAGGTTGTGCCTCAGAAAAGAACAAGTGGTTGTGATAGAAATATTTAGTATTTTCTTGCTTATATAAAGTCACAAGGAGTTATTTACATTAGAGTTTCTGTAAAAAACAGTTTAAAAGGAGCTATTGCAGGGTTTCTTTTTTTTTGTTTTCTTTTGCCTGTCTTCCTCTTGAAGAGTTGATAAACACTTTAAAATGCTATAGAAAATCATTGTGAAAAATTATTAAATTTATATTAGGGGTAAAACTTAAGTCTTATATTAGCGATGTGCTACTAACAATTTAAACAACACTTATAGAAGAAATAAATGCCACTGGATTAGTGCCAGAAAAAAATGAAAGCATGAACATTTGTGCTTCCCATGGAGATGAACAAAATAAAACTGCTGCTTAAGTCGTGCAATTGAGGGTAGGAGGTGTGTAGTAGGCTGCTGCAGTGGGAACAGGGAAATACAGCTCCAGCACCATGGAGGCATTCAGTGCAATCAGAGATGTGCTTGGCACCAGGCTCGGTTTCTAAGCTTGGCTCTTCTGAGTTTTGCCATCAGCCAGCCCTATTTGCATAAATACTCAGCGGCACCATGTATCTGAAAAAGAAGCGTGTGGTATCTATAGTACATTAATGCTTGAATTAAGATGCCTCACATCTTCATCAAATGCCATTTGAAGATGCTGTTGACAATTTTGTGCCAAACCCTTTGTCAGTCCTCGGGTGGCAGCTCAGTGCCGGTGGAAGGGCAGCACAGGCAGCAGTGGGGCCTCCAGTGGGTGCTCACTGGGCATCCTCCTGCAGCGCCACGTGGCATGGGATGAGATGTGCAGCTGTACCTGGCCATGGGAGGCACTGTCCTGGTCCTCCCAAGCCCTCCACAGGCACTTATTATTAAATCTAAGAAAGCATGACTGGAAAAATTGTTCTATGAGGCCCAGCCTGTTTTTAATGCATTTAATACAGGCAGGAGTATGACTCCTGCTGACAAAAATAGGCTTGTAAGTCCTTTGAAGATTTTTTTGCCTAGTACTTTTTCAGCAGGAGAAAAGCTTTGTATTCTGTGAAAGTCACTGGACCCTGCAGGACAAAATGGCAAAGCCTCACATTTAGGTATTTCAAAAGTTGTGCTGCTATGACCATTAACAAATGAGACAGAAAGGGAAGAAAGTGGGTAACAGTTCAGAAAGAATGTGAAAGGAGGGCACATAGGAATGAAAACGGAACTAGGACTTTCACTGGCTAAAACAGATTTCAAAAATGGACATGATTTATAAACATATAAAAATATTTTTATAGATCAGAATGGAGAACATGAGCTCCACTCTCCATCTTGAAAGAGAACAGCAGCACTAGTGCAGGTATTGTCCACTATTCAACACCAGCAGGTGTGGTCACCATTACATGGCAGAAATGAAGTAAGAGGAGGTCACCCTCACAGCCCACAGACACACAGGCAAGGTTTCCTGCCTTGAAAATAACCACCTTGACTTTGGTTCCAACATTTCTTCAGGAACTCTAAAGTCTCCTGTTTTGTTTCACTGACCTCTGCTAAGTGAAAACTCAAATTGGAAATGCTGCACATCAGAAAATCAAATCATTTTCTCATGGTCCTGTGGAAAAAAAAAAAAATCACAGATATATTTCACTTTATTTATTTGTTCTTCACTTTGATAGCACATCTCAATCACACTTTCTAATTAGATCTTACAAGATCTTTCACCTGCACAGGGAAAAATAGCAAAAAAAATGGTCATGCATGAGATATGAATGCATTCACACCAAGTATGTTGTACTTTCAGGTTCTGAACATCATAAATAAGAGAACATTGAAATAGCTATGTTTTTTTTAACAACATCATTGTGGCAGATCATAGCAGCTTAAAAAGTTTAACGGAGGTTAATCTACTTCTAATATTTTTATTTGAAAAGGTTTTTAATAAAGTTTGGTATGAGATTAAAAAAAAATTGAGGACCAAACACTACAAAATAATATTGTAAAGAAAAAGCATTTCTTTTTCGTTTGTGGAGATTTAAACCCACAATGGCCTTTATGCTTTGGCTGGGGATGCAGTTTTAGAATTACTTAGATGAAGGTTAAGAAACTCAACTTATCTGTAACTTTTATGCATCATGAAATATCCTTAAACAGGTTTGGGCTTTAAGAAATGCTGGACACACATCCTTTAAGAGGTGTTAAACTAGGGAGACAAAACCTCTATTTATTCCTGAGACTATTGGCCAAAATACTGACCTGCTAATAGTTCCCAGATCTATCAAAGCAGGATACAAATGACTATAGGTTCTGTTATTTGAGTTTGGCTGTTTTTTTTATTTAAAAGGTTACATTTGAATGCTTTGATGGCCATCAGAAACAAGGCAGTCTTGCAATGGGCAGATGAAGTCTAATTTTAGGAGGGGAAAACAAAGCTCTCTACAAAAAGTAGCTAGTCATACTGATTTAATGAAGATAAGTAGACATACTTACTGAGTATCTTCTTTTAGAAGGCTGACTTCTTACTATGCACAGGTGAAATATTGTTACAAGTACTTGGTCTGATCCTACAATGTGCAAAGTGCCCTAAACCCTTTTGTGAAATAACCAAGGAATGAAGGTTCTAGGTGCATGCGAGGAAGCACTTCAGGAGACAGGACTAAACACATGAACAAACTGAGCTGTTGGAACGTGCATTACTCCTAATCTCTTGCTATCAGGCATCAGCTCTCTGTAAGTATGCCTGCTGGCCACAGCTGAGCTCTTGTCTGAGTTAGTGCTCAGTTTCTAGGAGCTTGCAGCAGCTAAGCTGGAAACAACTGAACTTTCAACTTCGGGCACCAAGACTTGGTGAGAAGGAGAACAAAGCAAAGTAGGAGGAAAGCTGCATTTGGACTACCTTCAAGGTTTACACTGAATTTTAATCAAGTGTCTTGTGCAGTTATGTACTAAAAGGTCTTTTTAGAGCTGAAACTCAGACCTTTCTTTATATGTTATAGGATCCATCACATATCTTTGCAGCTATCACATATTTAAACCATATAACTAAATAAAAGTAGTCAAGATAAAAGTAGTCAAGATAAAAGTAGTCAAGATATTCTGATGGAACTAGTTAATACTGTGACAGGGCATCCAAGTTGTCCTGAGATCCTGGATGTCATGTCAAGCTGGTGATGATTTAGTAAACATTCAGTCCAGTTATATACTTACTACCATTTCTTGTGCCAAGACTTTAATGTGCTTCAGTGCATGAAGGAACTTTACAACCAACTCTATGAATATATATATTCCAGCTTTCCATTTCATTGCAGTTAAAAAAAAATAAGCCAGCAGCAATTATATTATAGCTTCATAGCAGATATTTATAACTTAGCTATAAACAAATACTGATCTAAAGCTTTGCAGAAAGCTGTCAGGCAAACTTAATTATTACAGAGTTTATAAGCAGATGAGCCACTTTCTTTTCCAGTACTACATTTACTACTATCTTTTAACGACAGCAGGTAGATATAAATTACATCTTTTCTGGGTTTACTCTTTAAGTGGGAAAGCAAGGAAGAAGCCCATTGTTGCAACAAAGTGTAACTATCTATTTTTCAATCTTTAAATCATGGTTTAAAGGCAAGTAAAGGGAGCTGTCTCCATACAGGAGAAAATGACAGATCGGTAATTTGTCTTTTGAATGGACTTAACTTTGTTTGCTGTCTGGTTTAAGTGTAAATTAAATCTACTGAAATTGCATTTACGAGGAAAGGAGGAAAAAAGGGTTTAAATCCAGACAAAAAGTTTGAATTCTTCTGCAGTATTAATTGGATATCTTGACCAAAATTTACTCTGATTCAGACTGCCACTTGGCTGCTCTAATTGCACTAAGTCTTTGTAATGAGTTATGTGGAAGAAGAATCTGGGCCACTGTTTAAAAGAGCTTTGCCTTGACATCTCCCTGTAGACCTATGCTCAGAAATAAGTTTCAGCCTGCATGACTGAGTGTACATTGAGGCCTTGTCTCATTTTTCTTAATACATACAGCCACATTAACAACCCAATATTTCTAGGAAGCAACGATTCAGCAAAGTCATTCTCTCATATAATTTAAACACCAGTGAAAGTGGACTGTTCTGTGTATACTTTAAATGACAGAAGGCAGTTTGATCTACCAGTACCCTGGGTTGGTTTGTTTGTTTGTTTAATGAACTTTTCAGAATCCTGCCATAAGAAACACTCTAATGAAATTGCTTTTGTCACGATCTGCCAACAGGCAAAAACCCTCAGCTTATGGTACTTTGATAGGAGCCAGGACAGAGATGGTGTAACTCAGGCCTTGCAGCACCACCTGTCTTGGGGTAGGCTGCTCTGACAGCTATCAGAGAAAGATGGAAAGTCAAAAGCTACAGGAGCAGTTCAGTGCCTGTCAGTCACCATCACATCCATGTGCTTCACCACCGCCTGTGAATTCAGCTTCACAGCTCCTTTGTGCGGTATGAAAATACTACTCCTCCTCTTGCAGAAGAACAAAGCGGGGCATAAGGAGATTAAATTGTTCTCCTGGGGTCCCACAGGAAGTCTGTAGTAAAGCTGAGGATGAATTTAATCTGTTAGTTTAGTCATGGGGCAGCTATTCTCTCCTCTTTACCTAGAAACACTGGGCTTTTGACACAACCCAAGGATGCAGCAAGCACCCTTGACAATATATACTGTAACACATGGTTTCACTTCCCTGTCCTGCCTGTCTGAATTTTACAGACTGGCTCAAACCGTAGATGCTTGTGCACACTAGTGAGATCATCTCACCTAGTGTTTTGGGTCAGTCTGCAAGACAAAGTTTAGCTGCAGAGCTCAGATTTAAATCTTCCCTATACATTAAGAGCCCACTTCTATTTGCTTGCTTCCCTCCTTCAAAGAAGGATGAACTATAATAAACACTATGAGCACAAAAGAAAAGTCAATGAACAAAAACTTCTACTATTAATTACAAACATTAGTGCAAACCACACACCAGATTAATTTTAGTAAGCACAGTATTTCTGTAAGGAGGTCATACAGCTGAGGCTTTAAACACAGATCAAGTCACATTCTTTAGCCAAATACATAGGCAGCTTTGAAGCTCACTCACATGAGCAATCTGGACTTTGCTGATAGAGTATTTTATCGTATGTTGTATCGTATGCATATTCGTATGTATGCTATAATACTTGCATTGAAAATATATTAGTCCTGTGCTTTTATAAAACATAAATAACTAAAAGGCAATAAAGACCAAATTCCAAAGCTGAATTGCATGTCTGGCTAAAAGACTTGCCTAGCATCATCCTAACTGCCCAGAAGAGTTTTTTTTTTTAAATTTAAACTAGCCATTTGTTTATGTGCCTAAAAGCCAACACTTAAATCCCTGCTCGACATTCAGATGCATGGCTCTGCTGTCAAAGGTGAGGCTCACTCTTTCTTTGACATCAGATGCTCCACACTGTTGAAATTAGCTCCCATTTTTACATATTCAGATGTAGATGTAGCTGTTTGGCTTTATCTCACATAATTCGTAAAATGGCGCCTTTGTGCCTAATTAGGGGTGAACGCTTGAAAGTTGCAGCCAGTTAAGAATGCTACAGGAGTGCTGATCTCCCTGCTCATCATTTCTTTGTTTGGCAATAGGCATGTGAAAGAAGGTAAAAAAAATCCAAGTTTGAAAAAGTATTTCTCAAATTACTTTCTGGGTAAGGCCAAATGAGCTAGCAAATGCTGTAGTTAGTGGTCTGTACCCCCAGCAGCTGCAGCTGAACGAGGCTGTCAGAATTTGGAAAAGTGCACTTATTAATCATTTGCTCTTTTGCAGGGACACCAGACTTTTGCACCCTGTGTCTTCTAGAGAGATGCTGTCTTCAGAGATTTTCATCCAGCCATTTTATATAGCTGTTCCTGGTCTGAATGCCTGCAGAGAAATCAGTAGGCCAAATGGTGAATATCATACAGCCATGAAAGCAGTCATCGAAGTGATCGAGTGTGACTTCCACGCCGGCATTCTCCAAGCGCTTGGCGTACATCACCCCATCATCTCGCAGGACATCATTCTCACAGGTCAGGACGTAAGTCTTTGGCTGCAGCTGCAGAGTTTCATTGTCTGCAAGGAGTGGGGCTGCTCGTACATCAAGCAGTGCCGGTATCTCCTGGATGATTTCAGCCTTGCCACTGGTTTGTATTACAGGCTTGTAGTTCTTTTTGAATGATGAAGGCAATAGAGATGTCCAGTTCAGGTGTCCTCTGAAGGAGAGAGCTTGGCTAACATCAAGAGCAGTGTGGTTGTTAATCAGCAGTGAGTGAGCCAAGTCATAGTTACCATTGAAATAATCTATCCAATAGTTGATCATGACATAACGAGGAAGAACAGGCATATTCATGTTCTGCTGATAAGAAGGTGTATTGAAGTCAAATGCCTGCAGGACTGGATAAATTAAAGCCTGCAGTTTCAGTCTGACGGCCAAATCCTCATCTTTGCTAAGCTGTGGGAAAAATACAGAACAGAACTGGGATCATAAAGAAAATAAAAATTACAATTTCAGTCTAGCACTTCATACAAGCAACATTTCATTTGTCAGTTTTTAGGCTGAATTCTGCTCTTATGCAGATAATGTTCTTCTGTCTGAAATACTAGTAGCCTGATTCTTTTCTTTTCTTGTAAGGACGGTCATTCAGGCAGATCCAGTATCCGATCTCCAGCAGAAATCAGTGGCAAAAGTTTATTGAAGGATACAATAAATAAATTTTTTAAAAAAGCATAAAGTGGCATTTTTCTAACAGTGTCCAGTTTAACAAC